TGGTAAAGAAAAAAGACGGCTCTACCCGGTTTTGTGTGGATTATAGATCCCTCAATGCTCACACCCTGAAAGACGCTTACCCCATACCTCGGGTTGACGACAGTTTGGATTCACTTGATGCCAAGGCGAAGGCGGCTTTTGTGACTAGATCTGGGCTTTATCAGTGGAATGTAATGCCATTCGGCTTATGTAACGCCCCTGCTACTTTCGAACGGCTGATGGAGAGGATTTTTGCTGGTCTTCAGTGGAGGACCCTTCTCTTGTACCTGGATGACATAATAGTCTTTGCCGAGAGTGTGGACGATGAAGTAGACCGACTGCGGGAGGTGTTCCAAAGGCTCAGGGAGGCCAATCTTAAGTTGAAGCCCAAGAAGTGCAGCCTTTTTCAGCAGTCAGTCACCTATCTTGGCCATATTATATCCAGAAACGGGGTATCCACAGATCCGGGGAAAGTCAGAGCGGTGGAGGAGTGGTCAGTGCCTCAGTCTACCAGGGATGTGAGGAGCTTCATTGGGTTGGCATCCTACTATAGACGCTATATAAAAGGCTTCGCCAAAATAGCTCAACCATTGCATCGGCTGATGGAGAAGAATCGGGTCTTCCAGTGGACAGAAGATTGTGATGAGGCCTTCCAGACACTGAAACGATCACTGACAACTGCACCCATCCTTGCGTACCCTAAGGAAGTCGGGGAGTTTATCCTAGATACTGACGCAAGCAGCACTGGTATCGGAGCAGTTCTCTCCCAAAGGCAGGATGGAGAAGAAAAAGTCATTGCATACGCCAGCCGCACGATGTCAAAACCTGAAAGAAACTACTGTGTGACCAGAAGGGAGCTTTTGGCGGTTGTCACGTATGTAAAGCATTTCCGCCATTATCTCTACGGACGGAGGTTCGTTATCCGGACTGACCATGGTGCATTACGATGGTTAATTAATTTCCGCAATCCAGAAGGGCAGCTTGCAAGGTGGATGGAGATTCTAAGCGAATATGACCTTGTCATCCAACATCGAGCTGGGCGTGTGCACCAGAATGCAGATGCACTATCTCGTAAGCCGTGTACCCAATGTGGCAGAACCGGCGCTGAGTCAGATGAACTCCAAGCAGAGGAAACCCCAGGTGAGAAAGAGTCTGAGGAGCATCTCGACCGTGGCACCAGAATGGTCACCATCACACCAAAGTGGACTTTGCAGCAACTACGAGAAAAGCAGTTAGAAGACTCCACAATTAGACCTATACTGAGGGCCAAAGAGGATGGTGACAACAGACCGAAATGGGAAGTGATATCTACTGACTCAGCGCCGAGCAAAACATATTGGGCACAGTGGGAGCAGCTCAAAGTTCGTGAAGGAGTCCTGTGTAGGCGACATGAGTCGGACGATGGAAGACGGTGCAAATGGCAAGTCATCCTACCAACAGACCTCAGAGAGGATGTCCTCGCGGAACTTCATGACAGCACAACCGCACGACACCAAGGGGTCCGCAAGACCCTTATAAAAGTTCAGAAAAGGTACTACTGGTCAGGGATGTCAGCCGACGTGCGTTCCAAGATCCGTAAATGCACAACATGTGCCAGAAGAAAATCGCCAGGAAAGAAATCCCGGGCCCCACTTCAGCAGTACACCGTGGGGGCAACAATGGAAAGAATCGCCCTCGATATTATGGGCCCTCTACCCAGGAGTGAGCGGGGCAATGCATATGTGCTCGTAGTAGGTGACCCGTTCACGAAGTGGATCGAGGCTTACGCCCTGCCGGACCAGAAAGCTACAACTGTGGCGGAAACCCTGGTGGAGCAATTCATATGCCGGTATGGTTGCCCGAAGGAAATCCACAGCGACCAGGGGACAAACTTCCAGTCAGCTGTATTCAGAGAGGTCTGCAGACTGCTAGGAATGGATCAAACAAGAACCTGCCCTTACAATCCCAAGTCAGACGGCTTCATCGAACGATTCAATCGGAGCCTCATCAATCTGGTTGCCCCATTCGTAAGACAAGATCAGCGAGACTGGGATGCCAACCTGGCGTATTCGATGATGGCATATAGGAGTGCTGTTCAAGAAAGTACGGGGGAATCACCATGCTTCATGCTCATGGGACGTGATATATCCTTACCTCTTGATGCACTGACCAAGCTTCCCGACGATTGTGATGACCATTTGTCAACAGATTATGCACAGAATCTTCGGCAGAGGATGACCCAAGCCCATGACCGAGCGCGAGAGAGCATGAAAACTAACCTACGACGGCAAAAGCGCAACTACGATCGCCATGTGGCCGGCCATAAAATAAATGTTGGGGAATTTGTGTGGCTGCATAACACATCACGCAAGAAGGGGTTGTCTCCAAAGCTTCAATTTAAGTGGCTGGGACCATACCTGGTGATAAAACAACTATCTGACGTGACTTTCAGAGTACAGGAGAAGCCGAGGTCGAAGCCAAAGGTCGTGCACTACGACAAGCTAAAGGCTTACACGGGTCCACCGCGGCAAGCATGGCAAGTTGAACAGAGGACGACGAGCCCCACGGAGGAGAACGACGAGGAAAAAGAGGATGTTGCTGGCGAGATGGATCAAGAGAACGATCTACAAGTCATACCCACAGAAAGCGCAAATAATAAACCCCCGGATGGTGATTCCCCAGCACTTGCTACCGGTACTCCGGTCAATCAGCCAGAATCAACCCCAGTAAAAGCAGCCGACAGTGCCAAGGTGACGACGGAAGGGGAGCCTGAAAATCCTCCAAGTTTCGAGGAATCACAGCGCCGATATCCGCAGCGGCGACGTAGACAACCGGCTGGATTACAAGACTACGAGGTTTACGGCCGTGAGATGCAGCCATTAATCATCACGGGCGCCCTCAGTGGGCGAAACAATGCCAGTATCCACATTTCGTCTAGCCCCCAACCCTTGGCACGTATTGTGTAATGGTAATCGTGCGAAGTATCTATCTACACTACCTTGTGCGAGCATGATGCGTACGCGCTGGCATAGTTACGCTGAACATATCGCACCAGTTAGTTTTTGATCATCGTTCGGTAATATCATCGTTTTGAGTCTTCTCCAAAGCCAGCGTCATCCACTCATCCACTTATCCACTCAGCCACCTTCTGTGATCCACCTGTGGATTAAGTCTCAGCGGATTAATCGGACTTTGACATTTCGGTAGTCATACATTCCTTACATCACCATGCCGAAGGAGGGGAGCGACCGTCATCGTGACCAGGGCAGGTCATCGAAAAAGCACACCGACCGTGGCGATAAGAGAAAGAGGCCGGATAACAGCGGACACTACAAGCACACGAAACAAACAAAGGAGCAGAACGACCGCCGCCCAAGTGCTACCACCAGCCAAGACCGGCCCCAACATCAGCACCAGCACCAGCGGACCAAGGAGCAACCGTCAGCCGCCAGCAGTGGACAGACGCAAAAGCACACCTGCCCGGTTCCCGACTGCGGAAAAGAGTTCTCCCTGAAAGGCAACCTGGGAAGGCATGCAAAGGAGGCCCATCATCGGGGCGACGGTTCCTCAGGATTCACCTGTAAAACCTGCGGCGAAGCATTCACCCGGAACGCCAGCCTTCACCGTCATGAAGAACATCACGACACCGGCCGCAGGCCCCTCCCTCATCCATATCCAGTCTCCACGCCAGCTGCTCCCCCCACCGAACCCAGCGACCTCCCTCTACCACCGGAACCCACCCTGGAGCTCCTTCCACCCCCTTGCACACCCCCATCGACCGCAACATCCGGTGGTCATCCCAAGACAGGGGGGAAATCATTAAAGTTGCTGCGGCAATTGCAAACAGAGAGCACAAGAATCAGCTCGTCGACTGAGAGTGAGGAGCCGGAGGAGGGGGAGCGGATCGAGGCAACTACCACCATCAAGGTATTCCGCGGTGGCATCCTCTTCCACCAAAAACAGTCCAAGACCGTTGTGGACATGTAGTTAAACCCTAGTTATTTAAGTTGGAAAGTTTACCCTTGAGAAAGTTTTTGTTAAAGCTGACTATAGAATTTTGGTAGTCGAAAACAAAGAAAAGAAAGAAAGTGATATTCAAAGATTTGTTGAAATTTAAGGATCAAAAGGCCATGATCTATGTTTTCGTATTTATTGATGTAAGAACATATTGGAAAAAGAGAAAGAATTGTTCAAACTTTATAAGTTTAACGTTAAAATTTAGTGTAACCGAGTTTAAATTTTAAAGTTGTAACTTGTTCGATGTGTTTAGTAACCAAGTTTATACTCAAAGTTATGACGGCATACATGTACAATTTTAATAATCCACTGAATCCGCTGAAGCGATTGTTTGGCTTACAAAACGAAGGATGTAACTGTAACTGGAATAGGAACACTTTCTGTTTTTAGTAATCATTTGAAGCAAAGTGGATAACATTGTAAAATTAACAATTTCAGGGACTGAAAAGTCTGGGGGAGGGTCATGTGACAAATCACGAACTACGCGTTTTTTATCAGTCTCCCTTATCTCAACTGTATGAGCCAAATAGCACTGTTAAGTGGGTGTGTCTTTAGTCACCTACTGAAATCTGATTGGTCAAGTCCTTTTGTATTGAGTAAAGCACACGTGTACAAGATTATAGGGATGTTGGCCTATAAAAGGCAGAGCTGATGAAATAAACCTCACTTCTTGATCAGGTGGGGCCGAAGAAGTCAAACCAATCTCCTGTGCCTAATTTATTGTTGATTGTCTAATTAATTATACTTGGTTAAAGGGTGTGGTCCACAGTGATCCACATTAAATCCACCCGTGATCCACCCAAATCCACCCGAATCCACCCCCTTTCCACAGTGATCCACCCAATCCACAGTGATCCACCAAATCCACTAGGTCACCCCGCCCCCAAATCAAACCACAAGTAATCCACACTACCACTGAGGCAGAGAAGGGCTCAACAAGAAGCATCCCGGAGCTGTGGCATTCAACCGCAGGTGCTGACGTCATTAGACCTGGCAGGGCTAGGGAAACCGATTGGCTACGCGCGTTACAGTATCATTCCCTGTTGCTCAGGTAACGTCAGCACACTTTGTTGGACCCCTGCCATTGTCTGTTTTTCTTCATGATGAATAGTTACGTGATGACTGGCCTGCTGCTGTTCATTTGCCTTTCTTGTCCTCCTTGGATCCTTTTCAGTCCTAGTTCGTGAATTCCCTGAAGATAAGGTAAAATTACGTACGCAGGTAGGTCCATATCAAGTTTGGTTTACAAGATTTATTACTTCTCTAATTTGAGGTTAGGAAGTCACTTTGTGGGTTATTTTATTGGTTCTTATTGATTCTTCACAAAGATTTAATTACACTAAATTCCAACCAACTCTTGAATGAAAAAATTAAGTTAATCGAATTATCTCTATAAAGCTATATATGCCCATCAACCAACTTGAAGACACTTGGAAGTATAGGGTACCTGAGGCCATCATTATTCCCGCTATGCCAATATTTTGTTTGATAACCCATACACATTATAAGCCAATCGTTAGACACTGGATTTACTTCTATAAATACAAATACGTGTAAATAGACTTTACCTTCTGATTTCTGTTCATCATCAGCTCCGCCCTTTAACCCGGACACGAGGCGTAGCTCTATGTTAGCATCTTGCTCAATCGCCTGATCTTTGAGGGGAACCTCATCGTGTAGCTGGAAAAAAGGAACATCATTTAACAAGTGTTCTAATTGAGTTAAGATGATTAATTCGAGACTTTTCAAAACCGAAACCTCCTAGCTGATGGCTAGCTAGAGTAACAAAGGTATACGGGATGGGAAAGGGAATCGACGAGTTTAAATTGCTAGAATAGCCAGTTTAAGTTAGACATTACCTCGTGGCGTTGTCTGATGAAAAGATGCTGCTTCTCTGGTTCAATCCCAAGTTGGTCAAGAAATTTGTCTTTTAAGGCTGATGTAAGAGTTGATGGATGCAGTTGCAGACATATTGGTCCTATCAGAGAACTATTCACAAAAAGCTGGATCGGGCGTTCTCCCCTCTTTTCACAGAATGGTTTCCTGACAGCATTTCCTCGTTCCGTTCTTGTCCGTGTTCTTCCTATAATGTGTGCAAAATATCATATATATATATATTTTTTTTTTTTAAGTATTTAATTTTAATGTAAAAATAAAATGAACGTGGACTTATCTTCTGTAATTAAAGTATTTCATATGCTGGACAGGGGCAATGTTTAAGAGGCTCTGTATTTTAAGCAATAATGGAGTTAAATGGTCTTTGATTATCCAACCATATCAAAAATCACACTACGTGTGCCTATTTTACCTGACGGTACTTGTAGCATTTCCTTTGATGGCCTGTCTGGATGATTAGTTTGCTTTTGTTTCCGTGCTTCTTGCCCAGCACCTGCCCTCTTCTCTTGAAGGCGGTTCCGTTCTCTCTTACTTTTGGATCTTCTTAGATCGCCTATCTGCTCCAGGCAGCATTCATCCGATCTTCGTTGCTTCGAGGATGTCGTCATAGTTTGTTGACAGATCTGTTCCTTGACCATGGCGCCTTGCTGCTTCCCTTTTTGAGGTCCGTCTGAAACACAAATCTGATCCTCTCCATGTTTCTTTTTCTCAGCTGATAGCTCCTTTACTTGTTTAAAGCTCTTATCACTGTTCATTACCATTTCCCCATTCTCTTTCTGACAATATTCTGCTTGATCCTCTCCGGTTCCACGTCTTTCTTTCTCCTGGGATGAACTTTCTGGCCGAGGACAGTCTTGTTCATCTGTCAGTCTCTGCTGCTCACGCGATGTTTCTTGTCGGTTGGTTTCCTTTCCACCGTCCGTTCCTTGCCGTTTCTTCTGCTGAAGACTGTCTTTGCAATCCTCCATCTTACCAAGTGCCTGGTGTTGGGGGACCACATGGCATTCTAAAAAACACAACAATAATAAGTACAATTAATTTCTGAAACTCCTGTGTCATTGGAAAGATTGCGAATCGAGCAATGCTTAAAAAATATATCTTGCTATTCGAAATAATATGATGAGTAACTGAAAAAAAAATACGATCTTGAGAAGAGAAAATGAAAGAAAATTACTTACGGACTTGCCTCACCTGACATGCTGTGGAACCTTTATTCAATAAATTGAAATCGTATTTAGTGCCCAGGAGAAATAATCGCCCTGATTGAGACTGCATGTAAAACGAACAGAACATCTTACCAGATTTTGATTGGTCAGTAACGGCGACATCGATTGATGAGGAGATGGAGGAATCCTTCGAGTTCACTTTATCTTCTTCATGAAGACATGTGTCCGCATTAACAGATGGAGATTTCTTGGCAGCTCGTCTTCTTCCTTCCCTTGTCTTTCTTCTCATCTTCTTCGTCATTCTTGTCTTTTGTGTTTTTCCTGTAAGTTGAAACAAACAAACAAGTGTTTTCAAGATATGAACGTGTAGTCTGCTCTGAATGAACTAAACCCCTGAAAATGTATTAGTCAGATTAGAACTTGTAAACCAGTCTTTCATGATCCGTTTAGTTCCCAGTTTATTATATTTTTGCGAGTATGTGAATGTTTTAAGATAATGTCAGCCCTTATATTTTGTATATTACTTGCATTATTTTAAACATTTTTTTTTGTAAATCGTGAACAATTTGGCCTTCTGGTCAACACACATGAGCTTTAAATACACCAGTTATAATTATAATAACCAAAGTAACTTATGGCTGTCTCAACTGTTATGCAGTTGCGACAGTTCACAGCATCACCCGATGATGTTCATCAATCATTACATCAAGATCAAGAGCAAGATTACCTGCTGATTTCCGTTCACCGACAGCTCTGCCCATCAACCAGGATACCAGGTGTATCTCTATGTTAGCATCCTGCTCATCACGGGGCTTGAAAGGGAAAAATTTAACTTGTTTAATCAAGTGAATAGAAACGATCCATTCAATACATTTTAAGACTATAAGCGTGTAATTGCATGCTATACAGCGACACAATTATGGGATAACGAATCTGAGATTAACAGACAGACGTTACCTTGTCGTGTCGTCCGGTGAAATGATGTTGCTTCTCTGGTTCAGTCCCAGATTGCTTTTGAAGTTTTCCTTTCAAGATTGTGATAAAAGTGGCTGGACGCATTTGTAGACGTATTGGTCCCATCGAAGTACTATTCACAAGGAGCTGAATCTTGCAATCTTTGTTCTCTTTACATGCAGGCTTCTTTTGAGCGTCTGTTCGTTCCCTTCTTGTCTTCGTTTTTCCTATAACGTAGATAATTACAAGTGTAATTTGAACACATTTTTTTTAACATTGATTAGATAACGGACTTTAATATGAACTTAAGAATATGCTTTCAGATACTCTCAAAATTCATCTGTTGTACATGTTGAATCGGCGAACTTAGTATTTCTAGTGACATTCAGGGGAACGTTTTAAAGACTCGATATAAGATGCTGAACATGGAGGAAAATTTCCCCACATTACAAAGTATATTTACCTGAAGGTACATGCATATTTCCCTTTGACGACCGATCTGTATGATTAGCTAGCTTCTGTTTCCGTGTTTCTCGCCCTGAAGGTAGCCTCTTCTCTTGAAGGCAGCTCTGTTCTCTCTTAGTTTCGGATCCTTTTAAATCTCCAACCTGTTCAAATGTTTCTTTAGCCGATCTTTGTTGCTTTGACCACGTCGTCATCTCTTGTTGACAGATATGTTCCCTGACCATTGCGCATTGCTCTTTCTGAGGCCCGTCTGGATCACAAGTCTGCTCCTCTCCAAGAGTCTCTATCTCAGGTGATAGCGCCTTTGCTTTCTTAAAGCTCTCATCACTGTTCTTTACCGTTTCCCCATTCTCATTCTGACAAGCGTCTGTATGCTCTCTTACATGTCTTTCTTTATCCTGGGATGTCAGTTGAGACTCTTCACCTTTGACCCCAGTTACTTCACAGCTCTCTGGCTGAGGACTGTCTTGTTCATCGGTTAGTCTCTGTTGCTCACGCGATGTCTCTATGTCTTCTAGGCTGATGTCCTTTCTACCATCCATGCCTTGCTGTTTCTTCTGCTGAAGACAGTCTTTGCAATCCTCCCTCTGACCAGGTGCGTGATGTTTGAGGACCACAAAGCATCCTAAAAGGACAATGATGTTAAGAAAAATTAACACCTAAAACTGTGTCACTGGAAAGACTGCGAATCGAGCACCTAGTTCCCTTCTAGACTTATGGGATCAAATGCACTTGCCATTCCAAATAAATATATATGACTTACTGACAAACTATATCTTTGAGAAGAGATAATCAAAATGACTTTGCTCAGTCTGAGATGGTATGAGATACCTTACACGAAGCACCCTTAAGGAAAAGAACCGAAAAAAATTGAGGAGCAATAAATCATCCCAAACAAGCAGAACATTTACCCGATTTGGATTGCTCAGTGGCGGTGGCATTGTTTGACGAGGAGATGGAGGAATCTGTCGAGTTCACTTTATCTTCATCATTAGGACATGTGTCGGCATTAACAGATGGAGACTTCTTGGCAGATGGTTTTCTTCCTTTCCTTGTCTTTCTTGAAACCTTCTCCGCCATGCCTGTTTTCCGCGTTCCGTCTGTAAATACAAATAACAAATGGGGGTTGTGATGACATCATTTCGTAGTCTGCATGAAATGAACTAAACCACTGAAAATTATGTAACTCAGAGTTAAAGGAATTTGTTACCAGGTTTTGATGGCTTAGTAATGGCTGTCTCAACTGCTGGTGGGTTGAAAGTGTTTCTAAGATCATCTGAGTTCAGATGTTCATCCCCTTGGGAGGTAGTTATGTTGGTCTTCTTCTCACACAAAGATGTTTGGCCAGCGTTTCTTCCAGTTTTTGTGTTCCTCCTCCCTACGACAGAAACGAAATTTACTTTTAATAATCAACACTCTGGAATCATAACAAGTTTTCGGCCTATAGTAACAAAAAACGGGATTTTACCTCGCTTCTCGACCTCTTGATCAGGCAAGCTTGTTTTTCTATTGGGTGCTGCCTCGGATGAGTTTCTGGTAGTTGCGCCTTTTCTTTTTGCCATCAACATTATATCATTCTCATTCGTGCTTGACATTCGGCATCTCTCTGAGAAGACCATAAAACAAATAGCAGCTTTCGTCAAAATTCTCAATAATTAACAAAACCACTGACAATAATCTTTGACATGCTTGAAGTGCCGCAATTAGTCTTTAGGAGATTGAGGAATCCCAAGTATACCATATAAAATTTGGTGGTCTTCATCACCCAGACTTGTCTTACCATTGATATCCGCTACAGACTGGGATTTCTTGACATCTTTCCTTGTTCTCTTCTTCGTCCTCTCTGAGTCCTTGTCTGTCATTGCCTTTTTTGTGTTCGCTTTTCGTGTTTCCCCTGCCGAGTTTGTACCAGATGTATTAACTCCTGAAGGGGCGACAGAATCTCCACATTCATCTGACTTATCTTGCATGTTTTCATCCTGGCTTTCCTCTCTCTCAGAATCTATTTTCTTGTTAACTTTTCTTTTTCCTTTTCTAATCTTCCCCGATTCCTTGTCAGTAAATTTCCTCGAACTCCCTAAAGGCAAAAAAAGATAATAATAAAAGTAATAATTACTCTTTTGGCTGCAATAGGGTGACTTTCCCATAGACTTGTGCACAAACCTAAACTGTCACCTAACCAAAGTTTACCTTATCTTTTTTTCCACGAAATTTAGTATTTATACTAATTGGACCATGAGGAATCGATCTATATGGTTTGCGACATCAAAATTCCTTGTCCTACGGGTCGTTTTCATAAAAGGGCGACAGTTAAAATGTCGCCTTAATAAGGTGTATCGCCCTATTGTGGACGGAGTCAGCAAAATTTGTCGACCTATTATAGTAATAGTAGTAATAACTTTATTTGAAACGTTTATCAAAATCAGAATGGTACAACATGTGTTAATACTTTATGAATAAAGTGTATGCATTGGATGCATCCCATAGCCTATACCAGTTAGCTATACGATCATAAGGAAGAGACTTTACCTTTTGATTTGCTGTTAGCGATGACAGCCGATGACTTGGACACAGTGGAATCGCTTAAGCCATCTGAGATCTCTTGCTCTTCATTACCTGTGCCTGTGTTATCATTGGTTTCTTCTTCTGTGGATGGGGAATTCTCGGCAGCTTTTCTTCGCCTCTTTCTTATACTCCCTGAAAAAAAATGCCACCATTTTAAACATCTTAGATCGATTGCTAGCAAACATCAGATGTTGAGCAGTTGAGGTACGAGATTTGTTTCTTTTTGGGAACTCTTTACCCCACCGGCAAAGATCCAGAACGGTATTTTATAGCCAGCCTGCAAAACTCAAATTTATTACTCTTTAACTGAAATTTAGTACACTCTTTTAGTACACTAAATAATGAAGGGCTTTTAAGTTAATCGATAATTGATCGAAATGCACATACTAAAATGTAACGAAAAATTAGGGTTTTACCAGACTTAGATTGATTACTGGCAGCTTCAACTCCTGAAGAGGTGGGACAATCTCCTGCTTCCACTTTGTCTTCATCACATGACGCAGTCTGTCCAGATGGAGATTTTCCGTTTGCCTTTCCTCTTCTTCTTCTTCTTGTTCTCCTTTTCGCTACGAAATATAAATCATGGACAGGGATTCAGAAAGGGACCACCTTTATATTTCACCAAGATGTTAAGAGTTTGGGTCCTTTTAAGCAAGCCACAGGAATGCATGCTTCCGAAAGGCTTTAGAATTTAAACCACTCGTGACAGGGCAAATCACGAGGGCAAAGTACTGGTATTTTACCATGTTTGGCTGTAGTAGACGAGCAGCCCGATTCGCCTGATGGAACTTGCTCTTCACCACATGAAGATGTTTGTAGCAGAGTGTCTTCTGAAGCCGAGTAAATTGTGGGAATCAAACGAAGAGAACAGATGCTCAGGATGATTGTGATTGTGATCAGTGCGAGGCGCAGAATTTATAGCAATAGGTCGAGTATACTAAACTTGACGGAATGTTGTCTGTTGCATCGGATGCTGATTGGGTTTTGGAATCTCTCGTATAATCCGATTTTCCGTGATGATACCCCGGCCAGGTTATGTTTTTCTCATAAACATGATAGTTTCTTGTCTATCATTTCTTGTTTTTTCGTCTTCTCTAAATATGCTGAATTTGTAACTGTTTAGAAAAGTCATCAAAATAAACTTTACTGGTCACTGAGCATGTATCAGGAAGCTAGTTTACCTTTTGATGGGTTGCTTATCTCTACCCCACCTGTTGAATAAGTAGATGAACCCTCTGAGTGATTTGAGTTGACGGCGTCTTTATTACCCAAAGTAGGATTTTTGCCTTTCTCTTCTTCAGATGAAGATTTGCAGCCCGACTGCCTCTTTCTTCTTCTCTTCTGTTTCCCTGCAGGTTGAGACGTTAAAGGTTTCTTTAAGACAGCCAGCTCTGCAATATATATACAGAGAGTGTGCGTAACTCTATATGTAGAGCTTCACCTGTTCCTATATGTTGATCAGCTCAATAAATCAACCTGTGTGACATGACATCAAGAGCGGATCCAGAGCACAATTTGTTTGTGGGGGGCCAACAAAATGTTGGTCCCCCAAAAAGTGGGTCCCAAAAAAATACGGCTGGCTTCGGGCCCGCTTAAAGTGCCTTAAAACAAAATTGGATTCTAGATGCTCTGTGGTACGATCTGAGGCAATTTCTGACCACTTTAACCAATGTTTATTTAAGGAAAAGATGGTGGTGTACTCATTGCCTGTCTTTATTGCAACGTCCCTTTACAACAAAAAATTGGTTCGTTTTTGGTTTTTTTGGGGGGGATGGGGCATGGTCCCCTTTGCCCCTCTCCCCCCTCCACCTGGATCCGCCCTTGCATGACATGAATATATTTACAGAAGTTACCTGCTGATTTATGTTGATAGCTTCCATTCATCAAGTCAGACACTAGGCGTAAGTCTATCTTGGAATCTTGGACAATCCCATGGTCCTTTAGTGAGAATTCATCGCAAAGCTACAATAAAATGATACAGAAGCATCTTTTTTTTCTGAAAGATCGACAAATGAATAAACCATAGTAACCCTACCACAACAAACATGCAAGTAATTCGTGTAGGGAAGGGAAAACACAATAAGAGTTGTGTTTGTTTCTTTAAAATGAAAATGAACATTGTAAGTCCAGATTTACCTCATGATGTCTCTTTGTGAATAGATTTTGCTTGTCTGGTTCAATTGCCAGTTTTTTTTGTAGTAATCCTTTCAATGCTGAGATAGTGATGGAAGGATGCAGCTGCAGACACAGAGGTGACCTTGAAGAGCTTCTCACGAGCAGCTGGATCTCACTGTGAAAACGTAACAAATAGGTCCAAAGAGGTTGAATTGATGAGACAGTTTGAAGCCACTCTTGCTGTCACCTTGTTATGTGTTTTGGCCGCGAGTACTTTTTTGAGTTTTGGCCGCGAGTACTTTTTTGTGTTTAATAATTCACTTTTCAAGAGAAAAAAAATTATATTAAGAATGGCACTCTTTGGACCATATCGGCATATCACCAGTGCATCAAACAGTTAACTACCTGCTTTGAGCATTCTCGGCTGAAGTTGCCCTTAGATTGCACGATGGTGATGAAGACGTATCCTCGAACTTGTTCCGGGAAAGCACGGACAGAAATATCGTCTTCCTAGACTTTCGGATCTTTCTCTTTCTTGTGACCATCTTAGCCAGCGAGTGATCGTTGATGACCTGAGCAGCCCTCTTGGCATCCTCCAAGTCTGCGAGGGTCCTCAAAGGTACCAGAAATTCACCCTTAAGAGACAAATACATAAAAAAAAAATATTGGGATCTACGAGTATACAAAGATAATCGTACACGAGCCAGGAGCATCTTCTTTTCGATTTTGTATCCAGTTCGGTACCGGTAAATGATTGTTGATGATCCGAGGTGCCCACTTCGGCATCAAAACGGTTCTTCACTTTCTTGACCTTATTAAGTCTGCAATTAGGCCAAAAAATTGTAGTTATGTACACTTGCAAACTCCGATTCTTTGTCATTGCTACCAACTTATTGTTCATTATCGCTTTGCTGTAGGGACCTGCACCATAACACATTCTCCATAACATTGAAACAAGAACGCATGATGGTCATTTGAACAGAGTGAGTACTATATTGCACTCAAATTTGTTTTCTTTACTAATAATATTCCCTTACCATTATTGTTACGTCTGTAGTCTGTGATCAGGTTGAAAATTATCTCAAAATTGGAGGAGTCCTTTCGATTAAACTGGAGACTCCTTTGTTGCCAATACCGCCACAACGTTCCTTACAAATGCAGAATAGAACGGAAGCTCTGCTGGGAATCCTGAAACAAATTGTATAGTAATTCATTATCTTTGTAGACCTACATAGATGTGACCATAGACAGTCAAACTTGCACCTTGATGACCGTAGCTGTAGTCAGCTGGATGCAACATTGACTGTGAGTTGTCAATCTTACTGGCGTGTAACAATACAGCCACACTTCTGGCGTGTTGTCAGAGAAGGTGTGCAGTGCAGAAGCAAAACCGATTGTTCTACCTCACCATTATCATTTCTCTCGTTTAATTTGCGGATTATGCAGAGGAAAAGCTCCTGGACGATTTATGGATGGGGCGGGAGTCGTCTCGTCCTTGACAAGGCTCGATGGGGGGGGGGGGGGGGAGACACACATAGGCCACACCATTGACTTTGATATTGGAACTCAGCTACTGCATGTGTTTAAAACTTACCTTCCTTAAAGCCACGTGCAGTATCATTTCAGATTACCCAGGAAAGTACCTTCATCCGATTTAATGGCATTCATTAAAATTATATCAAATAATGTATGAAAGTCTTCCACCTGAAACGATTTTGGAAGAAAACATTGAAAGTTTTTACACAAAACTGGCACACTTTTTACGTGCATTACAGCAACATAAACCAGTTTTCTGTTGTTGTTGTTGTTGTTGTTGTTGTTTTTTTCAAAACGAATAGTTTGTTTGTGTTTGTGTGTGATTAATCTGCATGTTGGCAGGGAATGCCCAGGAAAAAATGCGGAAGGAAATAACAATGCCTCCAACCCAATTACATCCTCGGACCGGAGACTAAACAAACAGACTAAAGGCTAGGGATACAAGTTCGTTTTGGTGGAAATTTGCCGAAGAGGTAAACGATTGTCCCACTCTGCTCAATAAAGTACAGCCAAAAATTACTTTTGAAAAAAAAAATAACGACGCTGTTAAAAGACCCCGACTCGGGGAAACCTTTTAATCAATGTTGCAAATCTGATTACCTTACTGTTTGGCTAACGCTGCCTACAAACAATAATTTTTAGTGATTGTTTTTTTCCCTCATAAATTTTAATTAAATATGGCACGGTTGCTATAAATTGTTAATTTCATTGGGGAAAAGTTCTTCCTTTCTTGCCCAGTAAGTACAGTTGGCATATTTACTTCTCAGCCTCACTGGGTTTTTACTCGAACTCAACAAACAAGGCATTATATTTGAGGTCACGGCCACCCAACAAACAAGTGAAGTTGGTTTCATTTTCGTACAGTGCCATTGTGTGAACTTTGAAAAGTATTTTCCATTTTTAGGCTTTCCGCTTTGGCACAAAAGACGTCCGTCACTGATTTGGATGACAATGACTCTGAACACGTTGCACAAGTTGAGGGGAAAACCAAGCCGACGCAATAATGGGAACCAATTTTTCGCACCAAGGTCATTTACACATATTTTTACGTGTGTTCCTTGTATAGGAGAATGTAAGTTGAACGCTATGGTCAAGCACATGGTTTCCATATGAAAGTATTTTTTTATGAAAGCAAAGGACAAATAAATATTGGCCTAGAATATGGACCCAAATCAACTGTCTGAAACCAATTAAGTTTCAAAATACCTTGCAAGTATCCAAAGACCAATAAGGTTTGTGAGATTGTAATTTTTGAATGTAATCATTTGAAAAGTAGGCGAGTAATTTTACTCAAAACAGAAGCCACAACTTTTAGTGAATCTACAAATATGTAGTTTGACAAATATCTTTCAATATATTGTCCATTTCTTGTCCGTTTGAGAGACACTCTTGAATAGATCAATGTATTTGTTTAATTTCACTACAAGGTGATCTAGTTTTCTGCAGCAGTTTAGAGTGCGGTGTTTGTATTCATTCATTGACGAGGGTATTTTCTATGACCCATCTAAATTTTGGGTTCCTCAATGTATAAAAAAAAAATGGATTCAGGAATCACTTGAAGGTTTGCTACCAAGTAAAACAAAAAAATAATGTTATAATTACTACAACATCGTTGAACTCATTAACAGGTCTGGATCTAAACCCACGGTAAATGTGATAATTACAATGCTTTCAATATATAAAAAAAAAAGAATGAAAATTAGTATATGGAAAATAAAAGGACTCCTATTTTCATTTAATATTTATTTTTTAAAGCAAAGTTGCAAACCTAAGACAACGACTTCTGGCAACCTTTTTTGACAGCGTAAGTGTTGTCATGTATACATGACGCCGTTTCAACACTTGAAATTTCATCGAAAGAGTTGGCATACTCTTCGGGTCAGAGTTTTGACTTGAACTAAATGAACCAACAATCCAGGCATTATATTTCGAGGTCACAGTTAATCCTCCTACGTAGACTATTTCAGCGACAAACATGTGCAGTTGGTTTTGTTATCAAATACAGTGTCATTGTGTGGACTTTGAAAAATGTTTTCCATTTTTCGGTGAAGCTTTTCACTCTTGTACAAAAGATTTACGTCACTGATATGATTTGAATGACAATGACTCTGAACAGGTTGCGCAAGTTGAGGGAAAAACCCAAGCTGACGCAATGATTTGGGGACCTTATTTGCACCTTTTCCTGTTAGTTATATGAGAATGTAAGATGTTCAAAGTATTTTTTCTTTCAAGCACAAGGTGCCTGTGTGTGGTTTTGAGAGCAATGTTACCAATACAAATGGCCCCATATCAACTGTCTGAAACTCAAGTTAAGGAAACCTTATAGTAACCAAATATATCAGGATAACAGGATTGTGTAATTATGGATTGTGTAATTGTATTTTTAGGGGAGTCCGGTAGGTGCAGAAGTTACTTTCCTTGCCTTCCACCACTTTGGTCCGGGTTCGATTCCTCTCAGGGCCACATGTGGATTGACTTTTCAGTCCCTACCTGATTCTGTGGGTTTTCCCTTAAATATTCTCCTGGGGTTTTCCTCTCGACTTTAAAACTGTAATTACTCCTCACTGTCTTCTTTGGCTTTCAAGCTACAGTGCCTAAGGCATTTTTGAGGAATCCTATAGTGAACTTATAGTGAATCAACACAAACATATACTTTGAAAATTTAAAATGTTCTGGCTGTCATGTTGATATGCGGGGAAAATCTTTCATCTATCGCATTCAACCCTGTACAGGCAGACAAGCAAAGTATTCATATTCTTATACACAATTTTTTTTTATTTAAAAACCCTGGATATTTTCGAATTTTCGAAATTTTGCACATTAAAATGTTGTTTACGAAATTATATTACATCCCATGAAATTATGTATGGTTTGTTGTCATTTAGAAGAAACCAATTTAACGTTGGTGATTTCCAAGGATCAGTCTATTAATTACTAATTTCCTAGTTTGATCTCTTCAGAGCTTTTTGTACTCACACGAAGTCAGGACCTTCTAGGTTTGTTGTTTACATGATCTTCTACATAGCGGGTTGTCCAAAATATTTTAGTGGCTTGTGGTAAAAATCATATCCCTTATGCGATTTCGGTAACATTCTTTTGAATATTTCAGGGATTATTAACGAAACACAATAAAACCCAAATCCACTGTTTACTTTACTTTTTACTATACTACAAGAGTGTTTTTCGAGGTTTTGTTAATTTGCGAAAATGAAGAAGGTACAATTTTATAACTA